GCAACATTGGGGCAGCGCTCTCATTTCTTGGCGTCTCAGGTAGCGGCTCTAAATTGAAGGTCTACACGAAGATCTTCCATCACAACAAGAAGATGGAGCTTATCAATGCCAAAAGTTTGGTAAGTGAAGCAAAGGCTCAGGACGCAAGCGAGACACAGGTTGACCCGTCTTCCATATGCCAATAGGTGTAGGGGGGCCTCGAGCGTCGAGCGTGTCCAGATCGCCACGAGAGAGCAGATGGGACTAAGAGAGGAAGCGTCTTTGACTTTTGCTACACTAGAGCAAGAGATTCAGCTGGGGCAGTGATGCAATGCAAGCAAGAGGTGGAAGAGAAGGTCGCGTGAATCTGCTTTCGCTGAAGGAAAGAGAGATTACATTTTCTCACCAGCGACTTCAGGTCGTGTACTAAAGCTTCTACCTACATTATTTTTGCAAAGAATGGGCGAAGAAGAAGGAACAAGAGAGGGAGCATTTTCTCAAGCGCTATGTTGTCTAGATGTGAAGGATGCATTCTTGCAAGTTCCACAAGAAAAGCCTTTGAAAGTGAATCTGAAAAACAGTTCTTTGCGAAAAGGAATTCACCTGGACAGAGAGTTGGAGCAAAAGCATGGTTTTTCTTTTTCACAGGGTACCTGACCGAGGAACTCAATAGCTGAATGTCCATGCCTGGGGAAGAAACGAGAAGAGTATCATATTGATTCACACGGATGACTTGATTCTCACAGGTTGGTTGTTCAAAGTACCTCAAACAGATCTTTCTTCCAAAGGTTTGACACCAGCGCGAGCAAGATTGAGAAGACCGGTGACGAATTCAACTTCCTGAGGAGAAAGTACAAACTCGACAGAGATGGACTATGGGTCCAACCAGGGAACTACATCCAGCGTATGCTAAGGCACTTGAAGAGCACGCGGGGAAGATCAAACTTCAACGACAGACAAGTCAATCCAGATAGAGGTCAAGTCAGAGATCTTGAGTGATCAGGAGAACATCAAAGCATTCTTGGTTCAGGTATCCATCTTTTTCAGGAAAGGTATGATGTGGCCTCAAGAATGTCAATTCCAACAACTATGCCCTTTCACCACCTGAAGAAATTCCTAGGATACTTGAATAAGACAATGGACTATTGCCTAGTTGTTACGTTTCCACAGGCAGGAGAAGGCTATGTGGAGAAGAGTGAACACTATTGGCGCCCAGAAGCATTCTCAGACTCAGATTTGGGCGGAAACAAAGGCCATAGAAGATCAACGTCAGGAGGGTTCCATGCATTGAATGGTTGTAGATTATTCAACAGCTGTCGAACGCGGCAGATAGTCAGCTTATCTTCACGCGAGGCAGAGTTGCGCGGAATAGTTCCCTCAGCTTCAGATGGCATATACGCCGGATCAGTTCTTGAATTTGCGTTTGGGACAAAGGTGGGCCATTACATCTTCACAGATTCTTCAAGCGCGTGCCAACTGGTGACAAAGAGGGGAGTTGGTAAAGTGAGGAATTAGATGGCAAGTTGCTGTGGATTCAGAACCGCAAAGGCTTCAATATGGTGCAAGTACCAACAGACCGCAACATGGCAGACATCAACACCAAACCACTTGCAGGCCAGAGAATCAGATTTCTGATGAACCTCGTTGGTTATTCGCACACTGAAGAGCAAACACAAGTTGGTGATCTTGAGAAAAAGGTGAGTGAAGAGAGAAAGAACTTTGAAGGCAAGGTCAACAATTTTTGTCAGAATCGTGACTTTTGAGGGCTTGCAGCCAATGGTTACAGAAGCTACAATCTTCATGAAAGGAATTGACCCGTGCGCGTTGGAAGTAGAAGACTCCAACTGATACTGGAAAACTACGATTGTCATGATCATTGTCTTCGGCTTTGCAGCAACGTGGATGTTCTGGAACTGTGTGAAAAACAAAGAATGAATGTGAGATGAGGATGGTAGAGCTCGAGTATCTCTTCGACAGGAATGAGGAAGATGACCGCCGGGTAGACTTGTTAACAGGATACACAAGGAGAATTCGTTGTGGGTTGATTCTCAATGGAGGCTTTGTAGAAGGACAAGAACCAGATTCCATGCACTGACAGTCCTACGGTATGATCGCTGAGGCAAATGCAGCAAGCTACTAAGCAAGAAAGAACTTATAGCGCTTCAGAGCTACAAGAGGGCAATTTTGGGCATAACGCACTATTGGAGGCAGCAACTCAAGGAGCAGTTTTGTCAGATGGACCAGCGTCAACGTCATTCAGAAGGGAGTATGAGTAAGAACAGAGAGCAGTACTACGTGGTAGGCTTGAGACCAAAATCAGCAGCTTGGACAGACAGCATGAAACACTAGTGTACAGAGGACAATTTGCTCAAGCAGATGTTCTTGATGCTGACAGCGTCTACTTTCAGTCCCGTTCATTAGAGAAGGGGTCAGAACTGATGAAAAGTGGCGGCAGAGTGAGCTAAAAGAGCGAATTAGCGCTCACCCTACCGAGAAGGAGCGGGTAGAATTTGCAGTGTAGATCTTAATAAGAAAACAAGAAAAGAAGGCTGCCTAGCTGCACCTTTGCGGGAGAGCACGTGTGCTGTTGCAGGCTTCTCCCACGGATCCTGTCCAAACGGTCCCATGGTCAAGCGCATATCTTATCTGAAGTGACGCTACATCACTTCAAACCTGGAGACAAATGTGAACACCATGGACAACCTGGACACAGATGGTCTGTGGGTGTTGCCTGTTTCTTGATGCTCTTTCCAAGCCTGCTGAAGTGCTTCCGATTGGACGGAGTTCAGACGAAGCAACCGCAGCGCCCGACAGAGAAAGCCGAGCATGCGGAGAATGCATCCATTGGTGTCGACATCGTCAGGGCTATTGCAATCTGGAACACCTGCTGCTTCCATTGGCAAATGAAGTTTCCATTCGACACCATTCGTGAAACAGTGGACCATTTTTTGTGGCCTGATGATCCTTCGCTCAAGGCGATGCTGCGCTATAGACTTCATTCAGCTTTGGAAGCTGGGTCAAATCCATTTGAACCAACACATGTTTTTCAATGTTTTTCATCCTTGCTGAGTGTTCTTGATTGTCAGCACGAACGTCCTTGAGAATTGTTTCATCTGTCCAGGAAGGCCTCTACTCGATCATTACGGTCTTTTTGGTTCTGCGATGCACAAGCTCGAAGATGTTTGGCCAACGTTTGATGCGTAAGGTTGGACGTCAGTTTGTTGTGATGCTGTTCATTGACCTTTGGCGCCCTGTGCTTCTCTTTGCCTCGTCGCCAGTCAACTGCATCCAAGATGCCATCCGCCACCCCACTGAGGACCTGATTGGCCGCCATGCAGTGCCAGAAAGCAGTTTCCAATTTTTTAACCTTCTGTTCTCCGAATGCATGGTGAAGGGACTGAATTTGTTGTTGTTCTTGTATTTATTTAAAGGGAGAAACAGGGAAACACCACAAGTTTCGGGGTTCCGTTCGTGCGTGCGTGCCAATATGAGGCTCCGTGGTGCGGATTGCGACTGCGTCACACTTCAACTGGGCAATACGACTTGATATGCAAGAAGTCTTGTTAGTTGGAACATTGGGTGTTTTGCGGTTCAAGTCCCAGCAGCTTCGGTTAGGACTTCTAGTTCCAGCAGCTTCGGTTCTGTACTGGGCCTATTTGATCCAGAGATCACTTCAGCCGGACGCCTGCGACTTTCTGGCTAAGCTCAGCCAATTTGGCCAAGCTGGTGGAACTCCTGGAATTAATTTGCACTACTCGTTTTGGCTCCATTGGTTTCCGAATGCATTGATCTTGCTGAACTTAGATACTTGTTTGCGGTCTCCACATGCAATTGCTATTATGGCGCGTCTGAAAAGGGACAGCTTCGTACTCGGCTTGGCTGTGCTTCTCATGCTACTTGGGAGCTTCGCCCTTGGAACAACACCTATGTTGCACTGGTTGAATTGGGAGGCGATTGGTTTCATCAATTGCGACCCGAAGAAAGAGTTTCTTTTGGGCAGCGGTCTGCCGTATGTCATCGCATGTTTACCCTTTGAGATTACAGCATTTGCTGCTTTGCATTTGGCACTGGTGCCTCGGCACTGTCAGAGAGGAAGTAAGATAGACACTGATACAGTCTGCAATGCTGGTTGTGAAGTCAGCAAAGCTGTCCTCCAACCTGTTCTTCCCTTTCTCAGTGTGCTTGAAGGAATGGGATTTGCATTTATGGCCTGGTGTAAATCTCTCAGAGAGATAGGATTGGCCTTTCTCCTGTGGCATTATTCTGTGATGCTTTTCTTTAGAACTTTCCATCCAGCGTGGGCTTCCCTCCACTTTTCAACACAAAAAAGCAGTAGTCCCTTAGAGACTCAGCTACTCTTTTTTGCTCCGATGGCAATCGCAACTTGGAGTTTGGCTTGGTTCACCCATCACATCATCGAAAAGCCCTACAGTCTGCTCTTCCGCACCCTCTCGGAGCAGCTTGGCCAATCGGTGCTGCTCACAGTGATGGTGTCCGGGTACATGATTTGCTGTTCAGCTGTGTGGTGGACTAGTTGGGTTGAGTTCTGAAAATGCGGAGCTGCAGAAGCTGCTTGAGTGTTCAGGTCGGCATGCAGCAATCTATATAAATATATTCCCTCCTCTGTTTCCTCCTTGGAGTGCTGGTCTGTAACGTAGAGAACATAACGCTTTCTTTGGTCCATGGTTCGGAACTCTGTATCTGAAATTGCTGCTAGTTGATGAAATAGATCATGCATCTCTAGACCAAGCCCCCTGCCGGCATATTGACAAGAGTTTATTATACTGTGTATACATATACATGTATATGTACACATAGATGTGATTGCTATTGCAGAACGGACGGGTTGCACATTGTTATTCTCTACATATAAGCAAGAACGCCCTGATCCTTCTCTTGCTACTAAACTAAATTAAAAGAACATGTTAAATCAACAAGAAGACAAGAAAACAAGTGCACATGTTCGCCGCTTTTCCATTTTTACCCTCTTCCCATCCCTCTTCGGCCTCCAAGATGGAGAGGAACACCTCCATTGCACGTTGGCTTTTCTCCTGGCACCGCAATGCCGCTTGGTTCGAAAGAAAGGGATAAAGAAGGCAAAAACAGTAGGGAATAAAGGCAAATGAAGCGAAAGCCAATGTACTTTTTTTCCATGCGTAGCTCATGACTGTGGAACAGCACTATGGTGTGTGTAGACATTTATGTAGCAGCTTGGGTGGCCTAGGCACCCCCCCTTCTACGGGAAGAGCCTACGCTGAGGGAGGTCGGAGTTGAGCAAAGTATCATGTTACCTCAGAAGCTCAACACCAGGGGCTCTACGGGTCTTGACATCCGGAGCCAGAGGGAGCCTGTAGGGTAATTAGGTGTGTCGCTCAAGAAACTCTGCCTACTGTCCTTGAAAGCAGCATATGACGAACGGTTTCTTTGCGAACATGTCATGTGAACCTCACCATTTGAAGGCCTTGGCGACCTTGGCGTTTCAGAAACACCATGAGGGGCTCAGAGGCACGGACTGCGTATCTCACAGGTGAATGCCTTGAATCGTGGGCTGGTGATGACTCTTCGTGCCCGCCTCGGGCGAGCTCGCCGGTCCTCAAGACCGGCTCTTACAGTCTGAAAGAGGGAAAAGAATTTGTGTCTCAGCATGTCGTTTGCTTAAGCTGTAGTCCTCCTCATGTCCTTACTTCTCGCATGTGCATCTCCACTTCTTGGTGAAGCTGAGCAAAACTCCGGCACCAGCCGGAGTGACTGGCCGAAGATCTTCACATCCAGGAAGGTGCTTATGAAGTTGGTTACCATATTCCAAGTCGGTTCAGGATCACCTTCCAAGTCGGTTAGCTCAAATGTTCGCATCTCGCCAGCTTCAACCTGCAAACCGGCAGGTTCAATCTCCCACCTAGCCTTCATGAGGTCAATCTTCAGATCGTCGTCCTCCATTTCCTTCCATTTCCTCACGAATTCAAAATCACCACTAATCGCCACATTCGCTTCCTGTGACCTCCATGAAAGCCCTTCTTTGGAGACGAGTCCAAAGTTGCTTGGCCCAATCCATCGGCTTGCATTCTACATCATTCTACCGACTTCGGGCAAGACGAAGCAAGAAAGGTGGTTCAACGGCACGTTGGGCCCAAGATGGGAACCTGCCAGGCTCTCGGAGCGTAGCTTGATGCAATCTGCTTAGCGAAGCGTTCGTTTGTTTGCGCCTTTGGCTTCGCTGCGAAATGGCTCCTTGTTGGTCAAACAATGCTTTTTCACCCACAACACCACCTAATCCACCGAGGCACATTCTGCAACTTTGGACCAGTGCCAGCATTGGATACTGTCACCTTGTGTTGGCTGCTTTCATGCCACATCGCCAAGGCTACCTCAAGTTTTGACAGTCTTTGTTTGTCTTGATCATCCGTCATGTGTCGGATGTTCGGCGTTTGAGCATGTGTGCCCATGCGATGCCCACGCACTCTGAGCTCCTCCAAGCCAGAATGGTTCCTGAACCCCACCAGTCACCTGAACTGCTTGATGTGTTGAAATGGAGTCTCGATGGAGTTGAAATGGCAAATGTAGGAGAAAACTGGAGAGTGAGGACATCCGCCTACATCCTACGTTGACTCCCTAGCACCCCTCCAACAACCTCTGCGCTTGCATTGCACATGGGCCCAATCGAACACAAATCGAGGGAGCGGAGAATTGGAACCAATCAACAAGGACGCTACTAGTGGCTCCTGGCCTTACTACTAGGAGCAAGAAGCTACTAGGAGCAAAGGGCATCGCTACTAGATACGCCAGCATCGACCCCAAACAGCAGCGGCAGCTTGCAGTGCCCAACCCCAGTGACCCAAAAGCACACCAGTCAAGCCCGGTCATTCCCAGTTCAAAAACTATGCCGACAACATAGCGAAAGATATTTGTGGGCAGCGCCATGCGGCACCAGCACCGCTCCAAAGCACACAGGCACCTGATCCACTTGAAGTAAGAACCCCAATAGCTGGTTTTGCGTTGCCTTAGCCCTTGAAGAGGAGCCGAGCTGTGGGAGACAAAGGGAGGCAAAGCAGATTCATCTCAGCCCAGCATCTAGAAGTGCCGTGCCAAGGAAGACAAAGCACAATCATCTCAGCTCAGCATCCAGAAAAGCTTTGGGAGACAGAAATCATTTTGGCCCAGGATTGTCTTTATGCAAGAATTGAGAACCTCTCACAGCAAAGCTGATTGAAGGGAAAAGTGGTTTCTAAAAGAAAGTAGAAAGGTCTAAAGAAAGAAAAGAATGCAAAAAGGTCTCAAAAAGAAGGAGGGGATATACTCTGTGGCGATCGTCATGGTGCCAGGCACGCTGACAGCGGTCGAACGGCGGCCCTTCGACTACGCTCACCTTTTTCCCCCCTAGGGGCAAGGAGAGCGGCACGAAAGAGTTGAATGAAATTGACTACAATGTTTACAAAATATCACAAATGTCATTTGTATGTGTGTTTTTGCATTTTACAGATCTCCTGTCCCATAAAAAGTTTTGTTGAAAGTCAGTGCGGTTTGTGTGACAAACTAACTGTTGCTATGTATGTCCATGTGTCCTAATGGAGTTCACGCCACAGTGTTTGCCGCTGCGTGCGGGTCGCAAAAGGATGGGTGGAAGCTCCTTGCTTGTCGAAAGATGTGGTTGGGGCATTTTGTTCTCTTGCGATGGCAACACCATGTATAGCCATGTGAGTTTCATATGATATCATTTTGGCTTAAGCGCTCAAGCGCATCCCAGCCACAGGCTGGAACGAATTGTATTTATGTTTGGTCTCGGTACCTTCACGACCACTCTCCACATTTCCTTTGCCCGAAGGTTAATTTGCTACATTCCTATGTGCTGACCATTTGGATCCGTGTCATTTCTGTCCAGATACAGGCATCGGATTGGTTTGCACATGGGACGAGAAGAAACTTAGAGTTACAGTTACAGGCTGGCAGCCTCGGCCTATTTAATTTGGCCACTCTATCCATGTCCAACATCATCCTGTTTAGGTGAGGCGGTGAGAACTTACGGTTGAAAGGGTGGCACTTGTTTCTAATAGCAAACATTGTTACTACTAGTAAGGCAC